CTTGTAATAGCGTAGGATTTACGTTTCCGCAATTTATTTTCCGCACCCCCTTTAACTGTTAACTTGTATGAAAGAATGCATGCTAATTAAAAAACAAGCGTAGCTCACAATAATGCCCTGATCAAAGATAAACTTGACATGAAAACAACACACAAATACACACACCACTCCTAGGGTACGCCTCACTGTTGCCTTGCCCTCGAAACGTGGTCGTCGAGTATAGGACGTTTTAGTAAGTCCTTATGTCCATGACATGATCCAGTTGCCTCGAAATGGTTGCCTCGGAATAAAAAAGGATCAATGGCATAAGGGTAGCTTCTAAGGTGTCCTACTATTGCTCTGGTGACCACACTGTCCCTACAAACTCGAATTGACCCGAACACCTCCAACGGTGGTGCTACCTACCTCTCAATGGTGGGATGGCACTACCTAAAGGACACCTACACAGCTTAATTCCTTAGGGTAGGTAGATGACTCATAGATACTTGCTCTAAAAAACAAATCAAAACTCTTTTCACACCGACACTTTCAAAAGCTTTCAAAACAATTTTTCAAACACTCTTGAGGACTGATACAAGAGTCGATCTGAAATCTTTAAACGAAACTTTTTCAAACCCACTCACACTTTGAAAAGCAAACATTTTGAAAACACAATGAGCAAGTATCTAAGAGCCCATGGATAACCATGGATAGAAAGGGTGCTAACACCTTCCCTTTCTATAAATCTACCTTCCGAACCGAGAGACAATCTCATAAGGCATTTTGCTGTGCTTTTGTCCTGTCCATGTTGGAGAAAATAAAAGACGGTGGCGACTCTTGCTTCTGCGACATTTCGCGAACCAGCGTTAAACAGTCAGTTCCAGATCCACCGATCACACTTGGTATATAAAATATATTTGAAATTACCGAACTTTTGCCATTTTTCCTCATAATCAAAATATTACCAATATCTTCAGATGCTAAAGTATTGTCATTTTCAAATTTCACCATGTTCTTCATCGAGCTTTTTATGTTCATAAATCAATTTTCCTACCAGTCATATGTGATGAGCATCCTGAATCTAAGTACCATTGGTCCTTGAACTTTTCTTCATCTCTCATTATGACCATCAACAACATTTCTTCTTCTTCTTCACATTTTGAAAGCCTTACATTATTTTCTTGATTCTTTTTTTTTACTTCTAGAAAATCACTAGCGTAATGACCATACTTTTGACAACTGAAACACTGAATGTGAATTTTTTCAGGTTTTCGTCCACCACCTTTTCCTCTACATGCAACACCACCTATGTGGTTGCCTTGGTATGCAGATCTTCTTTGATTCGATGAATTTCCTTCTTACTGGTTTCTCCCACCATTCGAATTGTTGTAGCCTCCTCTAACTTTTTTGTCGAACCATTTCCTTTGCCTTTTTTTTCTCTTATTGATTGTGCCTGCAGAGCCACACCACTCTTCAACTTGCTTTTAGCTCTTTCAACCATTCTTTTTTCATGAGATTCAAGCATCCCTTGAAGCTCTTCATTTGTCAATGTTGATAATTATTTCGATTCTTCTATGGCTACTACCACATAATCAAATTTTGGAGCCAATGAGCTCAAGATCTTTGCGACAACTGATCTTGATGTTAATGCTTCTCCATATACCTTGATTTGATTCACCAGTTTTGTAATCCTAGTGAAGAAATCAGGTATGCTTTCACTTTATTCCATTAGAAGCAATTCATATATTCTTTTGTGAGTTTGTAACCTCACCTATTTTACCTTCTTATCGCCTCCAAATGATTTCTCCAAAATTTCCCATGCTTCTTTTGATGATTCAACATCACTCAGCTTTTTGTATTTAGTTGGACTAACACATTGATGAATTATAAAGAAAGTTTTATAATTTTTCTTCTTCAATTCTTTGTGTGCAGTGTTTTGTTCATCTTTCGTGTCTTCTGCAAATGGCGTTACTCCTTCCTGCACAAGATCCCAAAGATCTTGATTACAGAAAACGATCTTCATTTGATTACACCAATTCTTATAGTTGTTATCTTTAAGAATCAGAAGACTCGCTGGAAAATGCTTGTTCGGATGATTCATCGCGCTATACTTCCCAAGAATCACACAGCCAATGCTCTAGATACTAGAAGTTGGAATTACACCAAAACTTGGAAAATTTTGAATCAATCTTGATGAACAAGAATCAATTATTTCGATTGATATTTCCTTTTATTCTCCACTCTTCACTCGAGTGAATAAACCACATCTTGGTTGCAAGATGATTTCGCTTCACAACGATTATGAAAGAAGAAAAGAAAAGATGATTTGGGGAAGAATAGAGAAATTAGGGTTTGAGAGAAAATGGGAAGAAGAAGAATATTTCTATAGAGTTTCTCTCTGCCTTCAAACTGAAGTTTTTTTTCAATTTTTTCTCTATGCAACTGCATTTACAAATGATAGGGTATCTCTCTATTTATAGCCTGAGATTGCTTACATATCAAGCAATCTCCAACTAACCTAACTCAGCTAAAAACACAAAATATAGTTAAGTCTAAATCTGTCGAGACACTTCTTCAACATTTCGACAACTTATACAATTTCAACACACAATATATTTCGACAACAACAGGCTCTGTCGAAATAGTGTTTTGACACAAAGAATTACATTCTCAACAAAAGTCAACCGTGATTTTTTTTCCAGAGTTTGACAAAATTATCAAGAAATATAAACGCTTATTAGCTATTTATTTTATGAGCTTCTATATTAAATTTGTTAGAAGATAAACTAATGAAGTTGTTTAACACAGGTGACCAAATCTTGTCAATTTTTAAAATTTTGTTGATTTACTATCACATGATATATACAACTGTTATTTATTAATGAATTAAATCTTTTATGGTAAAAAAATTTCTTGTTGAATAATAAACAAAACAATATTTTTTGTTTTTTATTTTATACATTTTAATCATAACCAAATTTCTCATTAAAAATCGCATTTCTTTGGATTCAAGCATTTGTGTTAAAGTGGTAAACGAGTTCTTGTTAAGGAACAAAGATTTAGAAAATATCAAGTTTTGATTTTTAGTAAGAACATGTTTGGTCGGTCTCATAACCTTTCTATATAAGCTATGAGCTCTGATTATCGGAAGTGCGAAAAGAAAACAACAATGTTAATAACTTCAAACTATTTATCCGTATTGAAGTATAAATATAAGCAATTTTTTTTCTCTTCATTTTTCCATAGTCGTATTTTTGCATTTTTACGAGAGTTTCACAAATTTACATAAATGAGATATAATTATAATTATGATTTCCATATTTTTATATAAATGCAATATATATATATATATATATATATATATATATATATATATATATATATATATATATATATATATATATATATATATATATATATATATATATATATATATATATATATATATATATATATATATATATATATATATATATATATATATATATATATATATATATATATATATATATATATATATATATATATATATATATATATATATATATATATATATATATATATATATATATATATATATATATATATATATAACGGCTTCTTTCAAATATGAGTTGTTTTCCTTTTCTTTTTAATTGAGATTTGGCTAAAATCAAATTATATTGTATTTGTGTACATTTATCTTCCCGAATTTTTAGTTGTTTTGAGTAATTTAACCGGAATTTGTTTTCTAATATCTAAAAAATTTAAATTTTAATATCAAACTAATAAAAAAATTTCAAAATTTCAAATATATAAACATGTTTGTTTCATCTTTAAAAAATATATTTTTTTTATATTTTTGAAAATAGATTTTATAAAATTATTTTTCAAAATATTATAAATTTTTTATATTTATTTTTTCTAAATCGATACACTAATTTTGACATCTTATAACATATATTATTGAAAATCAAAACATAGTCAAAATCGTAATTTTTAAAAAATCGTATTTCAAAAATGATTTTTATGAAAACCTATTTAAAATAGATTAAATATTAAGTGATTTTTTTGAAAATTTGATATCCAATTTTTTTTTTTTTAATATACAACTAACCCCTTATGCATTTAGTCAACGTGGTCATTTGTAAATATTTGGTCTTATTTTAATTTAATAAATTATTTAAATTGATGGAGTGGAGTTATAGAAATCACATTTTATTTTAAAAACAGTTTTCAATTTAAACAAGAAAAAGAAAATCTTAATTATTGCAAAATTACGGTATTTTTCAATATGTTGTAGAACTTTTATATTTTTTCAAATTATTACGTTGTTAAATTTTTTTAACTTCTTTTTTATTAATTATAATATATTTTTTGTTAGTTTACAGGTTTTTAATGATTTACAATTTTATCTAACTTTTTATAATTAAATATGTTGTATATTTATTTAGTCAAATTGTAAGTGATTTATACTGGTTAGAGTCTTTGACAAATTTATCATTTTACTCATTTGTAAATAATATTGACATTGTAAATGTATTGAAAAATTTGTAAATGTATTTACCATTTTACTCATTTGTATAATTGTTTGTATAATTATAAATAGTGTATAAATATCATTGTCTTTCCTTTTTTAATTTTTAAACCGGTATAAAAAAAATTATATTTACATGATAGTTTTATTTCTCACTTTAAACAAGAAAAAAGTATCTTAAATATTCGAAGCCTTATTTATTTTTAAAAAAATTAGTTACATCCATTTGATCTTTGATCTTTTATGATGTTTATATTACTTACGAGTTTTAAATATCTTATTTTATCTCCAAATCAATGATTTAAAACTCAAAATATAACCGACAGGAAAAAATAAACAGCAGTTAAGAAGAACAAGTAGAACCTCGTAACGGCAACACATAATAAAAACATTCTTAATCCACTCAAAGAATCTGATCATCACTGACTCAGCAAACTCCGATTTACTTCGATTCAACAAACGCATATCCCTCATCACAAATCCTCTCTCTCTCTCTCTCTCTCCAATGGCGGATCAGAACCAAAAAGCTGAGATCTTTGAACTCAACAATGGAACCGTGCAGCTTCTCGTTACCAATCTCGGTTGCACTATCACCTCCTTCTCTGTACCCAACAAAGATGGTTCTTTTCTCTTCTCCTTTCTCTCTCATTTTTCATTATTTTTTTTTTATCATCTAATTGCTGATTCTTTTCTCTCTAACATCAAGGTGTCTTATCCGATGTTGTTCTTGGTCTCGACTCTGTTGAATCCTATCAGGTTTCAATTTACCTAAAAGCCCTTTTTTTTAGCTTTTATTTCTAATTGGCTTGTTTAGTTTTCAATTAGATCTGGCTATTATGCCCCTTTTCAAAATTCTGTCTTTCATGTATAACATTGATAATTCTATGAGAAACTAGAATTCTATATATCGACAAGATCTTACAATGTAATCATGGTTATAAATCTCGTCATTGGGTCTATGTCACTATCCTTGATATTGCATCAACAAATGTCGTGGTCATGTTGTTTCAACTACATTTATGTTGCTTGTTCCATTGCAGAAAGGTCTTGCTCCTTTATTTTGGCTGCATTGTGGGTCGGGTTGCGAACCGGATTAAGGATGGAAAGTTTAAACTTGATGGGGTTGAGTACTCTTTGCCTCTCACAGACCCCCAAACAGTCTCCAATGGTATATCAATTCTCTGAATGCATAATCTTTAATTCGTTTTCTGTTGGATTATGAAATGCTAATATTCGTCAACATTCATCGGAGTTTCAAGTGGAAATTTAAAACTGCATACAATTTATGATATCTGCTTGCTGATTTCCTGACCTCTATTCCAACTTTAGGTGGAAATGTTGGGTTTGATAAGAAGGTATGGGAGGTAATTGAATATAAAAAAGGCGAAACTCTTCAATCACTTTTAAGTATGAAAGTCATGATGGAGAGGAAGGTAGTGCTTATTTCCTCTTTCTATAAGCACTTTTTTTTAAGCATTGTAGCTTTAGCATAGACACTTCAGATTGAAGGTCTGACACACCAACACAACACGACACTGACACTTGTGGTTACATACAATTATTACCAGTGTCGTGTCTGTGTCATGCTTCATTGTATTACATTCACTATGCTCTTCCATTCCCTTATCTGCATTTTGTTTTTATTGTGCAAGGTTATCCTGGAGACATCACTGTTACCGCAACTTACACACTCACCTCAAGCACGACTCTGAGGCTCGACATGGAAGGAGTGCCTAAGAACAAGCCAACAATCATTAACTTAGCTCAGCATACCTATTGGAACTTAGCTGGCCATAACTCAGGCCATATACTTGACCATTCAATTAAGATATCGGCTAATCATGTCACTCCTGTAGATCAGAACACAGTGCCAACTGGCGAAATCATGCCAGTGAAGGGTACACCTTTTGATTTCACGGCCGAAAGGAGAATAGGCGACACCATTAATCAGGTTGGACTAGGATACGACCATAACTATGTCCTCGATTGTGGCGAAGAGAAAGCTGGTTTGAAGCATGCTGCAAAAGTTAGGGATCCATCGAGTTCAAGGGTACTTAACTTGTGGACGAATGCACCCGGTATGCAATTTTATACTGCAAATTACGTCAACAATGTAACTGGAAAAGGAGGCGCTGTATATGGAAAGCATGCTGGATTATGTCTTGAGACACAAGTATTCCCTGATGCGGTAAACCAGTCACATTTCCCCGTCTGTTGTGGTTCGACCTGGCGAGAAATATCAACATTCTATGTTGTTTGAGTTTTCAATTGAATGAATATTGTTGGTTAGTTTGAGTGAGTACTAAATAAATAAGGTAGACTTTGTTCTGCTTATTACTATGGTTTACAAACCAACTTTGGTTGCTCATAGAACTTTTACTTGTGTTTAAATAATTGTCTAGTGTTTGAGGAGACTCAGTTTTAAGAGCACGTCATGAGTTGTTTCATTTTAATAATTCATAATAAAGACATCTGAGTTGTTTCAATTTTTTAGACTCCCAGTAAGAAGTTGAAGTTAGTTTTAGTTGAATCATGAACTTTTTTTTTAGGATTTTATTTAATTATAAATTAATCGTGAAATATGTATATAGAGACCTAGATTATTAATTCCAAATAACATAGTGGATCGGTCGATTCTAAAAATGGGATAGCTGATAGTGGACTAACCACTATTTGACTATTTTTTGAACTAAGTGTATAAATAACCTATAAAATATTATATTTAGTGTAAAACTAAACAAATAATACAACACTTATAAAAGATTTATAAAATCAAATATGGAAGAACAATGTTTAATCATATATATATATATATATATATATATATATAATATATATATATATATATATTATATATATATATATATATATATATATAATATATATATATATATATATATATATATATATATATATAATATATATATATATAATATAATATATATATATATATATATATATATATATATATATAAACTTTTATCAAATTCAAAACATCACATCTTAAAAATCAAATTTAGCGTATTATTATATGAAAATTCAAATAAATATAGAAATCATAAATCATCATCAAAGAAGTCTTCTCAAAATATTCCCTCTAATTCTTAATCTTCATCATTTCCAATTCATGTGGAGTGGTGCCGGTTAAAATTGTATTTACTCTTTAAAGGTGAACAAGAGGAGAAATTAACATATCACCCTAAATTAAGCATGTCACTCTCCAATTTTATTTATTTCAATTTTGCTCTTGATGAAATACAAATAATTTCAGGACGAAATTTTTGGTAGAAGAGATGAAATTTCTGGTACAGAACAAATTTCCGGTACACCCCTACCAAATTTTCAGTAAGAGTAAATTTTTGGTTTATCAAAAATTTCAAATTTATGTGGCAGTACCGGAAATTTGAGTTATACTGAAATATCCGATATGTTATGTACTCAAGTTTTTTTCAACAATCAAGGTTTTGCCGACATATTTTAAAAAGTTCTGATTGTACCGACACATTTGTGCGGTCTAGAATGCATCCCCATTTGTATAAATAGGGGTTTCAGGTTATAGGGTAAGACATCTCAAAAATGTCTCTTCTTGAGTATCTGATTAATGCAGAAGTGTATTACAACAGATGCAACCATGCACTCCATTCAAGATTTCATATGGCTTTGAATCCCTTACCACATTGAAAGAAACGTTGAATGGTTTACGGCCTGATTTTGATAACAAAAGGGTGAGAAATGTCGAGTTTCAGGATGATTTGATTGATATAAATAGAAGGGTGAAATACAACCTAATCGAGTTGAAGAATAATGCAGATGTGAAGGTCATTTGGAAATCATTTCGCCGTAGGATAACTAAAGGTACGGTCGAGTTGTGTCGTACCCCCAAAATTCCCCTCCCCTTTCTCAATACACTTCTCACAAAGATCTTCAATGACTCAAGCTTGCACAAGTGTTGACTAGGTCAAACCACCTTCTAAGCACTAAGACCCCAAAATTAGGGTTTTGATTTTCACAAGGACAATTGGACTTTTAATGCTTTCAATGACTTGTATGGGTTATTATAAACCTCCAAGAATGCTCATACCAAGTTTCAAGTCTTGCATCTCAAAATTGCTCAGTCAATTGCTCAGATGACTGAAAATCAGTTGTATTGGTTAAAAAGTCAATTGTGGTCAATTTATAGTCAAACTTCAAGGTTTTTGACCAATATCAACATTTTGAAGTCATATTCATCAATTGATCAAGTTTGGATCATAATTCCTCAAGAAAAGTGCTCAAATCATCAAAGGGGCAAAATGGTCAAAATTAGGGTTTTGACTGAAAATGACTGATTTTTGACCTTTGACCTAATACATGATCTAATGACTTGAAGCATAATCTTAAGAATTCAAGGACAAAATCTTGACCTAATTTCATGGTTCAAAATATTTTTCAAGATCAAACAATTGATAGTTGAAATTTGGTCAACCGATGAAAAAGTCAACTGATACACCAAAAGTCAAACTTTGACTTTTTGATCAATATTAAGTTTCAAAGATCAAGATTCATCAAGAAATTCAAAAATATGAAGCTTGATCATCAAGAATCAAGAAAGTCAAAAAGTCATCAAAAAGTCAAACTTTTCAATACTTAGAAATTATTCTAAGTGTTTTGAACTTGATAATTTCATTACTTCATGACCTTTTTCACCAAGATGAAAGATGATTCAAAGAAAACTTTCAACATGAAAATTGTAGATCTTGATAAATTCTACAACTTTGTATTAGAGGGTTGATGTTCAAAAAATGCTTATATTTGAAGATATAAGCCCATGAAGTCATGACATTTTCATAAAACACTTAGTGAAAATTTTGACAAGTTTAGACAGATTTTTGACCTAACTTCTTGACCAATTTCCACCTTGTTCCAATTTAATTTTGTCAAAACGGTCAACATGAAGGTTGTAGACAATGTTTCAAGCTTTCCAAAATGTCCAAGAACTCGAAGATCTCATGCTTGAGCTAAGAGAATCGAAGGCAAGAAGTTGGACATTCATTCTTGAATTACAAGTCATTTTTAGGATGAACACTTGACCAAATATCCAACCATGCTGCATAATCTCACTTTGCAGGCTTCTAACTTGTGTTTCACTCTATAATTAATTGATTACACAACTGTTAGAGCCATTATCCAAGCATTTGAGCCATTATCCAAGTTGTATTTCCATTTATGGCACAAAGGCACCATTGCCATTCTTGAAAAATTACTTTAATCACAAAGTCAACTTGTCTTGAGCTTTGCACTTGTTCCTTCTGTACAAGCTTCATCTAAAAATCAGATAAACATGTTTAAATCTTCTAACCACTCTAGATAGCCATGTACCTTGCATTGAAACTATGTTTGTCAAGATTACTTAAAAAACAAGCCAAAGATCCATAACATGTGATCTTGTGATTCTGTCACTCCAAGCCTTCAAACCTCTTGCCTATAAATTGAGACATTATTTACAAGCTAAGGGACGAATTCACAAGCTCAAAAACTCCTCAAGCACCTCTCAAACCATAACTGCATTAAAAATTTCATAACTTGTCATTTCTGCCAAAAACTTCCATCTCATAATCCACTCGTGTGTAATACGGTGGAAGAATTGACTGTTATACTGGTTTTGCGTTTGTATTTGTAAATGTTGCAGTAAGAAAGAGTCGCCACCGATTTTTCTTTTATCCAACAAAGGAAAGGGTGAAAATAACAGAAAAGACCTTTCGAGATTATTTATGAGTAAGGGGGATAGATTATGGAAAAGGAAGGTGTTAGCACCCTTTTCATCCGTAGTTATCTACATGCTCTTAGATGCTAGCTCATTTGAAAATACCTTGTGTTTGTGTGTTTGAGGAAAGTATTTTGAAAGGACGTCCTTAGCGCGGCGAACTTTGTAATGTATCTCGTATTGTTGAGAACGTATACAAATTGTTTTGAAAATGTTTTTAGAAAGAGTTTTGTGTATGTGAAAAATTGTTTTATTTTGAGAAAGCATCTAAGAACTATCTACCTACTCGAAAGGTTTGTTATTTTCCTCTTTTCCTTTAGACAGTGCTATCTACTATTAGTGAGTAGGTAGCCCTATTGTCAGATGTTTTGAGGGACAATCGAGGGACATCGTACGATCACAAAGGCGACTAGTAAGATATCTTAGTAATTACCTAAGGTTTTAAGATCATTTTACCTAGGCAACGTCGAATGGGTTATCGGAGAACTTATGATCTTTTAAACCAAATGGTAGCCACTAAAATCTCTTACATTGAGAATCGTGACCGTTTATTTATCCAAAGGCAACAAGTGGAAGTACCTTAGAGGTACGCGTGTGTTGTGTTTCAGTTATTTATCTTTAAATATTTAGGTTTTCTATCGTTTGTTTTCATATCTTATCAGGCAATCTTATTAAGCATTCATCTAACAATTAAGCATTCATCTAACAATTAATTGAATAAGCATATAAATAAAGTGCGGAAATTTTGAATCTACGTTATTACAAGGCTTCGGGATGGGGGAATTACAAACTAAAATGTGAAAAAGAAATGTAAATGGTCCTAGTTAAACTATTACACTCCATAGGCAATTACATAATATTTATGAAAAATAATGCGAATAAATAAATGAACGCACAGAGGAAAAAGAAATAAAAATGAAAGGATGAAGAAAAACTCTAAGAAAAATTTCTAAGTGATAAAATAAATATTTTTGTTGTTTTTTTATTTAGAAAAGATAATTAAATTAAATTAAGAAATCTAAGTTTAATTAGTTAATTAAAAAAAGGTGATTAAAATAATTAATTAAAAATTAATCTATTTAAAAAACTAATTCTAATTATTTTTTAGTTTTTTTGACTTATGATCTTTTATAATTTAAATTAAAAAAAAGAAATGAATTAAATGAAATAAAGAAAATAAAAATAAAAACGAAATGGGCCTTGCTGCAAAGAGTAAACACGGGGTGTGAGACCTTGAAATGTCTCAAGTCCAATGTCTTAGGGTCCAGGCGTGGCAACAGAAAATGGAGGGGTGTGAGTTTGAAATCTCCAAGCCCATTAATGAGAAGGCCTAAACGCTCAATAACCTGCAAAAAAATATTGAAACACAAAAGTGCAAAACCTGGGACCCGAACCCAGAATCTAGAAGAGGAGTTCCTTAACTGCATCCTATGATTTAAGCATTTAACCTTTCAGTAATATGTTAGTTCAGTTCTAAATAACAGCATGAACATCAATATATGCTTCAAATTCAATTAAATTTTATGGATTAAG